TGTCTACGCCGAGTTAAACCAAAAGACAGTGAAGAATTTCAAGAGACAAATGAGCTGGGAAAGGTGGAGCCTAAAGACTCTTCAAACCCCATCAACGAGAATGAGCCAGGCAACGTTACAAGTGACTACTTGAAGAAGCAAGACACGGTTACTTTTGACCATTTGGATGAACCAGAAATTGTTAAACCTGCTCACATCTATGAACCAGACACGGTTAATTCTGACCACACGGACGAGCCAAAACTTGTTGACCCTGCTCACATCGATGAATCAAAGATTGAACAATCTGATGAGAAGCATACTGAGATAAGAGACTTAGGCATAGTCAATAAAGGTGCTGATAGTGCAGAAGAAATAAACACCGCTCTCTGAAAATTAAAAAAATACCACATGAAGGTTGTTTTAAATGCCCAGGTGACCAGGAGCGGATCTAGGGAGAGAGGGCTCTTCGCTTGGGTTCTCCACCACCCCTTATTTATTCCTCCTCTAACCCCAGAAAACTGTTCTTTGAAGGGAGTCTAAACCTACTACCTCCCGTACCTTGTATTCGGGGCTCCCATCCCCTTTTTGGGCTTCTTCCCTATAGCCTTTTCTTGATTGTAAAATACTTGGCATTGTTATGTTATCTTCCCCCTATTTCTCCCAGGTTCCCACCTTTTTAGAACTCCCACCTTCCGCCCTTTCCTCTCCTGTCTCCCATACTTCTCCCACCTCCCCTTCTCCCGGGCCCCCACCCCTCTCTCCTCCTCTGTTTCTTTAATTAACCTGAATTACAACTTTAAACTTGAAGGTGAACGTCCTCCTATCAAAATGCTAGATCCGCCCACTGGTGCCTTAATAACTTTGTAAACAAGGTAGACTCCAGACCCTCATCTGGCTCACAAAATCCACAGGCATCCCAAACTCACCAGGTGAGTGCTTGGTAATACATTCAGTAATACTTCATGACAGAACAAAAATTCATTGGGTTCACAAAGACATAAGAACACAAATAATAGCATAAGCATGTTTATTCTGTTCCTTTTCTCCACAATAAGGTACAGGCTGCAAGACTCCCATTTTAACCTTATTGATTGTTATGTTGTTCATATTATTAGGTGTATTACCAAGTGCTCACGTAGTGAGTTTCGGCTTCCTGTACAAAATCAAGATAATACCTATTCTCCTTGTACATTTATTTATTTTGTCTTGCAATGAGTGGATAATTATTGCAATTTACATTATTTTACACAAACATGTAGTACATAATAGCAGCTCAAATAAAAATTAAGCTTTGATATGCTGAAAAATATGAAATTGCTTAGTAACTCTTACCTATTATCTCTTTTTTGATACTTTAAAAAGAAAGTTCAGAGATTTATTCACTCTAATGTCTAAACCTCTACTTATGGTCTACATTTTTACTTGCCATGTAAAAAATCAATGGAACTTAAGGTATGGTAGTATTAGAAGAGCTGGAGATTATTCAGTTTTTCTTTTTAGCAGGGGCAATTTAGTGGCAAAAAGGAAATGTCTACTACATAAATACTGCACTTATTTTGAACTTTGCATAATAGCAGAATACTAAATTGAAGAGACTCGCTTCTTCATGACCCTGTATGAAACCACATAGTCATTTATAATATTATTATTAAATTTTTATTATCAAGTAAGCAAAATGTCAATAAAGGCCTAATCAATTTTGCAAAAATAGTTCCTTTACCACAGACATTCAAAATATATCACATGGTAATTTATATGTTGATTGCATTAATAGTAACTTATTATTTGCTTAATTCAAAGTAATCATTAGTAATATACAAACATTTTCAACAAATAAAAGAATGTTAAGTGATAAATACCACAAATGTTATGCTGAACCTCTTTTTTCTCTAAATACCAAAGTTGAGGGAAGAGGGGCACATATTAAGGGGGGGAAGGGGCAGGCCTCATGCCTGATTGACTTTTCTCTTACAAGACATTAACATTCCAGAAATATTTCAGGTGTTCACGATTTTCCTGTTTGACTGTGAGAGTTTTTCTCTGTCTTCTCTAATTTCTTTTGCACATAGTTAAGTGGGGGCTCCAAATCATGGACAGATAACGAAGGTCATCGGTTTTATGTTAGGGATAACATTTTTACATCATAAATTGTAATCAGTAACCAGTATGAATGTATAAACTATAATTCTTGAAGTTTTAAAAGTGGGACATGTTGTCCACCTGGCCACGAATTAAATTCATGCCATTTTCTCTGTACTTTACTGTTCATGGAAAAAACTGAGTGGGATGGACTACTTACTTTAATGTTGGTCTACAAGGGGGGGCATTTATTTGAGGGGGTTAGGGGAGAACTGATTTGAGGGATGATGCTAATTCAAAGATTTTCAGTACTGTCATTATCCCATTAGAAAATGGATTCTCATTTCTACTGTGCCATACTTCCTAAATAAAATAAATATATATATAAATACCACTATATCACAATAAAGCTCTGCTTTTATTTTCTCCCTCCTTCCCAACACATCAAGGAAATGTTAGAAAGGGAGCTTGTAAATATCACATTAGCATCAAGGACCCCCAAAATGTTTTGAAACGTAAAAGATTTCCACATATCATATAGCCTTGAAACTAAGACATTTTTAACCATTTCGTTTCTCTTAATAGACTACTGTATAAGAGAGACACCTTGAAAATTGGACACTTAAAGTTGCTCCCGGACATTCTTTAGTCATTTTCTATGACTTGCTGTAAGCCAAAAACCTTATAATTGGTGCCAATTCAAATGAAGTCCACCCTAGAGACAGTTAACTGTGTAAGATAGTACTGTTTTGGTGCTGTATAAGAGTAAGTTAATTTAATGTTTTTCACCTGTGATATCAAGCAGGATGTAACAAATCGATATTCTCAATACTCGATTAAAATAGATAGTAATCGATCGAAATCGACTATAATTTATCGATTAATATCGAAAATCGATGGAAATCGATTGGTCGAGTTTTTGTAATTATCGATTTTATTGATTTCAGTAATTAAATGATCGATTTTATTGATTTTGATTGAAAAATATCGAAAAGATAAAAATGGGTGAAGCCGAGTTGGTTGATTCGTTTTTCTGTTGCGTTTAGTCCATCATCACTCACTCGAACTTATAAACAGCAACTCGTAACTGATATTAAACTCAATAAACATCTCCATAACAAAGCGCCTTTGAAGTTGTTAGTCCTAGTGGATACACGTGGGAAAAAATAACACTGTTCTACCACTCAATAAGTCAACAGACGTACCGCTTATTAGTTCAGCTTCGAATGGGAAAAAAATGAATGACTCTAGCCAAATTTGAGATTATCGATTTTTATCGATTATTACTAATCAATCGACAAATATCAAGCATTATCGAGTACTATCGATTAATTGATTACGTTTTTGATGATCGATTTCGATTGATTTGTAACGTCATGTATCAAGAGTCAGAGAATCTTACTAATAACTCCACCACAACCTTGATAGTCAGCAGTCTTTTGGAGTATACTTTTGCTTTGCCTTGACCTGGATTAATTCCCTGTTGTCCCAAACCCCATCCTTAACTAGGATACCAGTCAAATGATTTCCATACACACATCCAGAATCAATGCCTGAAGCAAATTTATATAACTGTAGTCCTCGCCGGGCATCATGTCCGAATACAACATGCTGAGGTCCACTCCATATGGATGCCCAGGGATATCCATCCTCTATTTTTGACGTGCCTTTGAATTTATCCGGTTGGTAATTCCTTATAAACATGATACCAAGGGGGTCTTGATTCTCTAATGGCACCCCAGGAAGCAAGCCTCCATGCACGACAATGACATTCAATGAAGGAATGCTGATAGAATACGGGAGATTCTCTAGAAAATCCTCGTCTTCCTGAGACAGATCCAAAACAAACTTGCGTTTTTCTCTCACTGGTTCATTCATCCGCTTATGGAGAATTTCTGCCAAAATTGATTGTTCATGATTTCCTCGCACAGCAAACGCGCCAGTCTCTCGCGCAAAGCGGATGACTTCTATTGTTTTTGGTCCCTTGAATACAAGATCGCCCACAAAAACCAAAACAGTCTCCTGGTCAGGCACTGTGCATTTGTCACACAGCTCTTTGAGCTCGTCAAAACAGCCATGTACATCTCCTATGAAAAGTACCCTTTTCCCTTCAATGTGCGATGGATCTATCGTAACATGAGGTGTTGGCGGAGGAAGGATTATTTGATGTTTATCGAGCTTATAGCTTAAGAAAGATCCGACTTCCCTCTTGTAAATGAGACCAAATTTGTCCAAAAAGTCTACGAGAAATTTAAGTCCTAAAGTGACGACCGCCATCTTTGATAAATTTCAATGACTACTCTGTGTAAGAACCTGTTAGTATCCTCCCACAGAGATTCGTCCCAGAATTCACTGCGACTAACGACGAGGTTCCGATCTTAAAAGTTTCGCCTTTAAGTATTTATCTGTGTTGTTAAGACTCACATCAACATATGTCATTAAAAAAGTTTTATCTTTATTGGCCTATTCAAGTTTTGAATCTTGCAATTGTATCCAATTTTTAACTGTACCGCGAAAATCACGCAGCTACACCCACAAACAGAGAGCATTTTCATTATTATTATTATTTAAGACATTTCTTGCACTAATGACAAGGAACTAATTACCCAATTTTAAACAACAATAATAACAAAAGGAAAGAAAAAGAAAAAGTATTGCATACTCAAAATTATATACATTTCAGTCATTTCACCATTATATACATTTCAGTTAATTAATATCTAATTAACTAGATGAAAAGAGAAATTGAAAACACTTATTTTGAGCACACTCTGAAATTTTACTTACAAAATCCAGAAAAAAAAATATAATAAAAGATTACATGAATAACCCCTTAGAAAAGGTTCTTACAAAGTTAAGAAATTTTTTTAACGATTGTTGGTGGATTGTTCCTGATCGAGATGCTCAGTTTTCTGTATTGCAAAGAGCATAGTCAAGAATTAATTGCTACATCCAATAGGATGTTTCTTAAACAACCGTTTGTACAGATCACGGTGTTTTAGCCAGATCTCTTCCCGGCTGTCTGCAAACAGATAAGCCCCTCCAACACTCTTTCCACCGTCGCCAACGGGCTGTATGTACTCATCGGGGCCAGTGTGCAGGTTGACGTTTTCCATGCTCTCGGCAACTTGAAAATCGATAATTTCACTTGCTTTGCCTGAAATAGTGCTTCTGATAGAAACATATGCTGAATGCACGCCTGTGAGTTTTGCTGGAGGAGGTTTTTCCCCTTGTGCCAGGCGCAGTTGCGCTTCAATTGTGTCACCGGAAGTGAGGCTCTTTTGGCAGAGGGGAGAACAAACTGTAGTCATTCTGCCGTTAATCTCAAGTAGCCTGACATCTCCGTTCTTGCACAAGAACAACTGCATGTTCATGAAGTGGTTATCATATCCATAATCAGCAGCTCTACGATTAAACAGTAAGATTAATGCGCTTTGAATTTGCGACTAACAACAAAACAAAACCTACCCTGAGTGCAAGCTCTCTAAGCAATCGAGCCACGAGTAATTCTGCGTCACTCGCTCTCCCCTCTCCTTTTGGGTGCTGCTCGCGCATGTGACTCCTCGACAACCCCCCCACACACACACACACACCTATTATCTTACTCAGCAAAACAGCCGCTACTTTTTGCTTTTTTTCAGGCAAACAAATGAAAGCGCCTGCTTAATAACCTGAGATCAGGCGTCTTTTTTTTTTTGCTTCTAAGGGATATTAGGGAGAGGGCATGATCTCAGGCTACCTGCTTAATAGAGTGCAAGACACGCGCGAAGAGAAAAGGCGCGTGTCTTACGCTCCACGCCTGCCTCGGGCTTACCTTTGCTCGTCTGAAAAATGCGGAAACAAAAATGTATAATATAACGACCCCTGTTCCGCTGGCCACTTGGTATTATTCTCGTACGTATGGGAAATTCTCTTAAGAACATCAGTTGTGCAATTGCACACATTTTAGGCTACTGACAGTTATCAGTATGTGGCCGACATACTGATATTTCGAGCATCAACAATTTGCTGTCTCTCCCGTTTGAATACAAGTTAAAGAGGTCTGTCGCTTGTCGTTTTTGGTGTGTTTTTTGTTTATCAAAGTGGTTAAGTAACGGTTACCCAAGACGACTGTGTCAAACCAAAACGCGCGAGTTAACGGGGGTAGCGAAGAGGGGGCAAGGGGTGAGAGATTGTCTCATTTACGTCGGTTCAGCCTTCGCGCGGCTGTATCCGTCCTACTTTACGAACCACAAATGGAAAAACACACAACACAAAATCGCCAGCTAGACAGGCTGCATACGTTGTTGAGAAAACCGGTCGTTTCAATACAACTCGTTTGCAACGACTTTGTATCGAAACGACCGGAAACTGTTGTTGATTGTAAACCAACACGCTGCTAATCCATAACGTTAAGAAGCTTAGTACCTGTTTGCTACGGTCTCAAACATGTCCCAGATTCTATCTTGAATATGAGTTGGTTTCGTAGAAGGAAGAAACAGCATTTGATTGACATTTGGATGTGTGGGCCATGTTGTCAAATCATATAGTGCCCAGCGGTATGCCTTTCCATTAAACACATATCTATAAAGAAAAAGGGATCTGCATATTGGGAAATTGCACACCTACATATATCCCTCTTCCCTAACACAGCATTTTGACCTAAGTGCAAAGTTAGTATTAGAAGGGAGTTTAAGCAGCGACGTTCATAAGCGACGCACGTCAACTTGAAGTAGGCATTTTTCTCTTTTAATATCCATTGACGCGACCAAATTTGTATAATTGACCAAGATTCAAAATCAAAGCCGAAGAGAGCAAAAAGTCCACTTCCGGATGACATGCAAACGGGGATATATTTAACGGACAATCACTTGAATCATTCGACGAATAATCCAAGATCATATCGTAAACTGAAACAAATACAAGCGTAAAGCTAAATGGCGTGCGTACATAGCTGAATTTCCGATCATTCCATTACAAAAAAAAAATACGGATTCCACGAAGAACTAACGGAAAAATCAACAAAATCAAAGAAATCTTATTTTAAGGGACGACCAGGACATAAAGAAAAACTAAGCACGACTTATGCGCTACACTGTATTTTCTGGTGATAAGGCAAAGCAATCAGGTATAATGTCAAACGTATTTTTAACTTTCCCGTGTTCATAAGAGTCTGCCAAACGTAGATCAAATGTTGGGTTAGGGGAGGGGTAGGTAAGTAGTTGTAGGCTTCATCATCCAGAGCTGTACACGAGTTGCGTGTTTGACGACAGAGAGACATGGGAAGGAATTAGTCAAAAATTAATATTCTGACGTCACGGTATAGAGGCGCGCTGGTGTTCCTGGGATAGTATCGGGCAATTTATGGTTTTGGCGCGAGACTTAGGCCATTCTGATGCATCCTAAATAAAGGTTCTCACATTAGATATCTCGTGTTAGTGGAGTCAGAATTGGGTTAAGGAAAAGGAGAACAATTTGAACTGGCCTCTACGGAGAAAACACATTTTTTTAAAACGACTTGCTGACTTAAACCTAACTTTTTTCATCTGATAAAACTGTTTCCATCCACACACTGTAGCATCATTGTACAGTTCCTTTGTCTAAAATACTCACCCATCCAGCTCTATGATCTCTCCATCTACATATTTCTCCAGGATCATCAATCCATCGGTCAGAGCCAAGGGATACCTGCTCAAGTCAAGGAATTTGGAGGCCAAAGGAGCATGGCTGCCTATTATGGACCTGTAGTGTTTCTTGCTACTCTCGATTGCGTGGACCAAATCATCAAAACTGTTAATTTTCTGTATTAATACTGACCCAGTTCCACAAGCCGGCTTTAGAATCGCAGGGAGACCCACCTCGTTTAGCATGTTTTCTAAGGTGGCACTTTCTAGATGACTGTTCAAATCGATATGGCAGTAAGGCACAGGGTTGGGATCCAGAAGCTTTCGGGTGTAGTACTTGTTGATAGTCAGGAACACTGATTCAAATGAGGGGCCGCGGAAAGCCAATGAGCCATATTTTTCCACAAGGGAAGATAAAATGGGAGCAGCGACATCCTCAAGCGCCAGAACAGAATCGATGCCAACTTCTTTTACGTACCTGGAACACATCTCGGCACTTTTTAACAAATCGAATCGTCCGGTACCATAGTACTGAAGAAGTTCATGTCGAAGCGAGATCACATTATTCTGGTCGCACAAGTATGCCGAACTTAATCGAACAATGTAGTCATACCTTTTATCTGTGTATAAACACAAAATTTTCTTACAGGGTCCGTCCTGTTTGACGTTGTTGTTGTAAGCTAAGTAAGTTCCCTTACGGTACATGCTGTAGCTGTTAGATGAGCTCTTGCTATTTGCGGACGGAAATGGCAAAACGATGAGTGTAAAAATATAGCTAAAGCTAAATAAAGTATATCACCATCATCAAATATGTTAATCCATATTAGACACACGACGCCTCTTTTTTTGCAGTGTACGCCTAATTTATTGTTTCAATTTCAAAAGACTTGGCAATTAGTTTGTTTTTCACCAAAAAAAACTCAATGTACATGTTGTGATAAGATATACTATCTTTAGTTAGACAAAATAGAAGGCGCTTTGAGAAAAAGTACAAAACGAGCTATAGCTCCACCATTCGAGAATGCTGAAAAGTTAAAATTTGTATTCCCAACAGGAAAGTAAGAACTTAGTTGAAAACAAAGCAAAATTACCAGGAACAATGGATGATTCGATACATGAATCTAGGGACGCTCATTTGGGAATTCGGATTGCGAAAGCATTAAAACTAACACAATAAACTTTAATCCATTGCACATTTTTATCGATAAGAACTTCATTGCAGGTCGGAAGTGCACTCTTTTAAGAAGATTGTTAAGACTGAGGTTAACAACGTACCCGAATGAACTAATAGGAGGTATATACAGCTTAATCAAAAAAGGTTGCTTTGGTAATTGGTCATTGGTATTTGGCGTTTTTGCGCATATGGAACAAAGCAATGATTTACTTGAGTGGCCATCAAACAATAGCTTCCCAATGTCCAAAGCAACTTTTATTGAATAAGCTATAATATTCTTAACCATTTTTGCTTTATGAGCTTTAAACAATAGGTTGAATTAAATCTTCATCTATTAGGTATACAAGACAGTCATGGGACCCACGTGCAAGATAAGGCACGTGTTGTCCGCGACTGTGCTCACACAGTGGGTGGCTCCTCCTAAAATGTTCTGCAATTGGTATAGGATTTAATGGGGCCGAAACCAATTGTGGAACTGCACGCATTTTAGGCATCCTACTGATGAACAGTTGGGACACGTAGATGTATTTTTTAGCAACTACTATAATTTGCAGTCTGTCTACTTTGAATAGATTTAGATTAAAACGCCGCACTTTTCTCGGCAGCTCGGGATCTACAGTGCGGGATTCGGGAAGACGCAAAATGTCTTGACGGGATTCGGGATTTGACCTCTTTTGCCTTTTCGGAAAGCGGGATTTGCCAAAATCTTGGTACGGGATACGGTATTGGGAAAGAAAACGGTATCAGGGATAGAGATAACAGAAGTTCGAGATGAAACGACGTCGTGAAAAAAAAAGCAATATTGCGGGATCAGGATCCCCTGTTGTAGGACATATTTTGGGGCTTCAAGAGTAACTTGCATTCCACACCGTCCAGATGGGGAATGGGGCTCTTTTTGTCACAGGGAGGCTAAAAAAAGGGATAAGGAAAGCGGGCGGGGGTGACGAGTAAGGGAAAGGGAAACTCGTAGTGTTTTGCAATCATCTTATTCTTACTAATTTAATACGCGCAAAAAAAAAAATATTGCGCGAAATTTAATACAAAACAATAAGAGTTTTAAAAATGTCCTGAGTCCGGGTGTTTTTTGAACTGTGCACACTTACTGAACACCTCAAGTAGAGTTTTAAGCACTGAACTGTATGTCACATTGCATAGAGAGCGTACACACCAAGTAGTTATGTTTTGTCTTGATTACAAGGTTCAAAAAAACCTCAGTTATTCACAAATTGAATCCATCTCACATTGGTGAGGTGGGTGGGTTATTGCTTTTACTGCTGGAACCTCTTACTTCCCTGCTCAACATTTGGTCCCCGTAGAGAATCTATAAGACCTCAGTTATTCAGGATTTGATCTGTCAAATAGTAAGCTAATACAGGGAGAAGTGAAAGTTGTCTTCATGCCTGGTATTAAAAAAAAACAAAAAAACATCTGTATGGCCATTTGAAGGTAACAAAATAATTTTGCGCTAAAAACTACTGGAAAGAATGGCACAACAACGGTGACACAGTCTGACCCAAACAAATACACAATAGATAAAAAAAGAATACTCTTGGCAATTAATGACTTATTACCACACTACATTACTTTAACAAATTACTGCGATATTGATGTGACTATCTGGTACCAAGAGTATAAGAGGAAGCAAATTAAGTTGAGACAAATCCTTTTGAAAGAGTGAAAAGTTAGATCATTTCCCAAGGTCTTATAACAATGACGAACTAATTACCGTTCAGGAGAATTGAGTGTCTTAATCTTTGTAAATAAGAATAAATGAACAGATTTTTGAACTTTTAAAAGAGTTAATGAAAAGCAAAGAAAGTCAACTTCCGGCAATTTATCATTTTCACTTCTGGTCAAGATAGCTGCCGTTTTAATAAAATCCCCATAACTGGCGTCAGCACCAAAATCCGCGATGGCTACAGATATCAGAGATTAATCAAGGTAACAAAGGAAACATTTTTACCAAATATGATGCACATTAGATCATATTTTAATGCTACTTTGCAACTTATAAATATATTATTATTATTATTATTATTATTATTATTATTATTAACCAGAAAGCGCAACGCAAATGCTGCATATATCCGCCCCACTATCTATAGTGGTCTGGGGGTGGGGGATGGGGGACCCTCAAGGAAAGTTTCGGTAGAGGTCAGTGCCGCTAAGGCCTTAAACCCAGACTATGTTTAAGATAAAAATCATTCATTTTGCTACCCTGTTTACACTACATGTAAAACAAGAGACCTTTTCTTATTGCCCTGATTCATGCCGTTTTGCATACAGAATTAAGTAATTTTTCCAACTAACAACATGAAATTAGATTTTTTGGTGAATATTATTGTTGGTACCATAACATAAAAATGTAGACCACAACACCACACTCTTTTAAAGACTTTTGGTTAAAAATGACACCCTGTTCAAGACGCTAAATAGTGAAATTGTAAACCCCATTTAAGGTACCCTGGTTATCAGAGGTTTTTTCCTCGCATGCAGGTGGATGCTTCGGTGTTGGCCGTCAAGGTCAACAGATCTTTGGCACGAAAATTCTCTGGCACCCAGGTTATGTTTAAGCCTCAAGACCCTGCAAACCGCACCCTGTGTACATACAGTCGACTCCCGGTAACTCGAACCCTCTCTAACTCGAACCTCCCGCTAACTCGAAGCAATTTTCATTTCCCTTTGGATCGTTTTCTATATAATTTTACCCTCGATAACTCGAACTCCCGATAACTCGAACTGTTTTTTATTTCCCTTGAAGGTTCGATTTATCGGGAGTCGACTGTACCTATTAAGGCCAAATAAGGGAGTGCCCCCCTCCTGTGGTCCGGTGGTAAGTAGCGGCGGAATTGCACACATCATTATTGAGCATACAAGCTAATAACCATAGTGGTATAACGATGACCGTTCGGTTCGATTCAGGATTCTTTGCTTCCACGTTTCGATGTTGGTTCGATTTTTGCACACCTTTTCCAGGGTGCCCTCAGTGAGTTATTACATTGTAAAATCAGAATCTAGAACTCTTTAAAATGCGCGTGTTTTGATTGACAAGCAAAGACGATAGAAGTGCGTGCACCATTTTGTGTTGCCTGGTAAAAATGCTGTCCTTCAACCACCCCTTGAGAATTTCCAAATAAGGCAAACCGTGTGCGACACCCTCTTTGTAAGGTTCTCAAACATGGCGATAAATGACCAAGCGACTGTGAATCCTTCTGTCCCTGTTACTATTCTAAAATGGAGGTTTTGGGGTTGTATATTGTTTACATTACGCGTTATGTTATAAGAATTAAGAAACATTTACATAATCGACATAATCGACATCGAAATCGAATCGAATCGCAAGGAATATGAAGCGTTATGCCCTACAAGCTAAGGATCTGGTACAAGGACTTTTGCAGCTAAGATCAAAGAAAGCGGATGTCACATTGTAGACACTTGGCAGTTATTAACCTTTACCTGGGGTGTTTACATTGTTTGGATCGATCTCTAAGTAATTACACGGTGAGTTATGTAAGAGAACTTATATATATATACTGTGTTACATAAGTTGTCAGCCCTTCAATTGCCCCTCAGTATATAATTGTTCTAGTTTTTTTAGGGTCATATAGGCACAGTTGGCACTGATAGGAATTATTACAGAATTAAGCTGACTGCTTGGCACAAAAATGATGATCATTATCTCAGGCAAACCAAAGTAATGGCGAGCCCAAAAGAGTCACATTTTCAGGATAACTACTATCATCCACCATGACACGCTTTTCTGCAAATCCTACTAGATGCTATAGAAACGTCAGCTCTGGCCTTTCGAATTGCCCAAATGCATGGTTTGGTCAGTTTCAGCAAGTTGTTTACATCAATATTATTATGGCAAGCCAGTGCCAGTCAATGGAATTTGATTCAATTATTTATATTAGGAGGCAGTTTCTGATTCTGTTCTTGTTCTGCTAGTAAATCATCTATATGGTTCTTAATAAACCAGACCTGTAAAACAGAAATGTTTATAAGTATGACAAATAATTCTGTATTATGCTAAGGGGAAACAAAACAACTAAAGAAATAGAATGCTTGTATTTGATATAAAACCTTGTAAAAAAGTAAGAAAAATAACCCATCTCCTTTGCCCTACCTTTTATGGATATATATGATGCTATGACAACACATAATCAACCCCATACTTACTTCAACAGCCATGCAAAGAGCTCGCCCAGAAATCAGAACTCCAGTAACTCCCAGTTGTGCGTGATGTGACATGAAAGGAGACCACAAATGGGTCTTGAGTCCATACAACCACACAGGGAGCCCATGCAGTCCACAGATGGCAAAGGTCCCAATTGGAGTCTTAAATCCTAAAAATGAATTGTGTAACATAAGTAACTATTACAACTGAAATACCTTCAAATTCTTTATATCAAAA